AACCAAGTTTGTAATACCCTGTATAAGATATGAACAAAAACAAACAAGGGTAAGCCTGCTAAAGCAGAGGTTATAATTTTATCAATAAGTATTTATTTGATCAATTTTCTATAGCCATGTGCCCCTCCCCGGCAACGGCGCCAGAAATGCTTGTTGACATTTCTTAGCATCACTCTTTACTAATTTGTCATCCCTAGCATGATGCCAGAAATGCGTTGTTGGTAATTATAAATGGCACTTGAAAACTTAGAGGAAAATTATATATATATTAAAGTATCCGCAAGCGCACAGATAATATACCATTGTAGCATTTTACCCAGGAGTATACCAGGTATCGTTATTTATATTTTATCCATAGGGGGGAGCTATGGAGTTGTGTTGGCATAGAGATGTTGACAAATGAATATATACTTATGATAAACCACTCTCATGTTATGGCAGGGGTAAGTCAAATGATAAATAAATAATAATGTAAAGTAATAATGATATTCCAGAGATAGAAACAAAGACTCATAAAATATAGTACAGCTAAGCAGGAGATTCGTTAAGAGCAAAAGATTCTCAAGTCATTCCTTATTTACTAAGTCTTTTATACACTCGAGTATATACACACTCATCTATAGTATAACTAACTTTGGATCTATGCATAAGGAACATTATTAAGGAAGATCAAGAACATAGTTTGTCTCCCTTTGCAACCGTGTTTTACTTGCTCTACAAATGGAGAGTGGACTACAAAGGACTTAACGGGAGTATCACATCCACGTCTACCACATGACCCAGAGTGCAGAATGCATCTGTAGGCAAACAATATCTAAGCACCATGCTTACATAGTGTTGACCACTTAACTCACTCGAGTACTAAGCTAAGAGCTTTGCGAACATATGCATAAATTCACCATCAATCAAAACTATATCAAGCATATATCTAGAGCAAACTAGGAACATAATAAATAGTAACATAATATTGAAGTAGCACAGTCATAAAATAAGAGGGACACAATGGATATAGCGGCCTCCAGACAGCGAATCTAGAATCCTAAGCAATAGCCCAAACTCTACTTGAACCTTGCTAGCTAGCATATACTAGAACTTTGAAGAATTGAAGCTCTATTCTCTTCTCTCTAGAAACCCTAATTTCTAGACTGATCTTGACTTATGGCAGCGTGCTCTAGAGGGGGGGCGTAGGGGCTGGTTATATAGGCCGGAGCGTCAATCATGAGCACTTGGATCAAACCGACTTGAAAGAATGACGTAGATGCAATCCTTAAGGTGGTGGAGAACCGATGTACGAAGAAGGGACTGCTAGGTGGGCCCAGGGGGTCGGGCGGACTGTAGTTGGGGCTGAGCGGCCCCACCTGGCAGCCTCCTACCCTCTACTTCGGTGATGTGGCTTCTGGAGTCCTCTGTAACCTTCTAGAGTAGTTTTCACCTCGGATAAGCGTGATTTAATTTGACATTTTGATCCCCCTTGACGGTTTTCTGAAATAACCCTGCTAAAAACACAGATTCACCAAAACTCATGGAAATTGTCAGTTTAAACCCCTAAGTCTATGTTGGTGATCATTTTCATGCATTATTTCAAGTTATATTGAAGTTTATAATGAATGATAACTACCGTCAACAGCTATCAAAACTTTCTCCTCTTGTTTGGGAGATGATTCCTTCTCTTACTTGGAGAGTTCATTATGAATGCTAGTGCAGGGAGTCTTTCCACTAATTCTATCAAGCATAGATCTTGCTTCACTAACAGACAAATGAAGGAAAGCTCCTCTAGAGGCTTGATCAATGGTTTGCACAGAATCATTGCTAAGACCCATATAAAAATATTGAAGGAGCATCGGGTCTGAAATAGCAAGATCGGGGCCAGTGGTAATGAGGTCATTAATACGATCCCATGATGTGCCAAGAGATTCTTTTTTTAGTTGTCTAAAATTTAGAACCTCTTTTCAAAGGCTGACTACTTTAGAGATGGGAAAGAAAAGTAAACAAAATTTAGAACATAACGTTTTCCAATCTCCTTGCATACTTCCTACGGTTTGACTATACCATTGTTTAGCTCTTCTCGTTAAAGAGAACAGAAACAACTTCCATCTTAAGGTCTTGTCAGACATGCTAGTGATGTGCAAGCATGCATAGGTCTGTCCAAACTCTTGTAGGTGTGAGTATGGGTTTTCGTTGCCTTCTCCTGAGAAGGATTGATCCCGAATTAGTTTTATAAAACACGGGCACAGCTCATAGCTAGGTGCTAGGATAGGCTCTGAAGATTTTGGTGGCTTTAGTTTTGCACTCGTGGGTTTAGCATATTGATAGATAGGAGTGGAATCCATAGTAAAAAGAAAAAAATAAAGAATAAAGAATAAAAGATAAAATATCAAGTTAGGCTCGAAGTTAATTCAGCAACCGTTTCTTCAGCAACAACGCTAGAAAACTTGTTGGTATATTTAATGCACATAGATAAATCCGCAAGCGCACGGATATCGCTGTAGCTTTCACCCGGAAGTATTTCAAGTATCGTATCCATAGGAAAACATGTGAGATTAACTATAGTCTAACTTAACCAGGGGTACCGACTATGTTAAGGTTTAACTTAACTAGGAGTAGTAACAAGGCTAAGGATAAATCGGAGCGTAGAGAGGATAACTGAGGTTCTCTAATTCTAACTTGAGTAAGCTATGCCTTCTACTATTCAACTGGGGACATTACTAGAGAAAGACACCAGCAGAGGATGCTTTCCTTCGTAACCGGGTCCTACTTGGCCTATAGACGGGAGGTGGACTACAAAGGATCAACGATCCTATATAGTACGAGGCTATATAGTACTGATGTCACAACCGCGATCTACCACCGATCTGGAATGCAGGGTGCATCCACGATTAACCTAAGTCTGAGCACCACGCTTACACTCAAGATTAATACTCTACTCCCCCTAGAAAGAGAATAAAGCACTCAAAAGAGAGTCGTGATCCTAATAAACAATATAAACAAAATACTTACTTAAATCAAAAGTTGATTACTAGAGAAGTCTAAGAAGCAAGCTCAAGTAGAACTTGATTCCGTCAAAGTACAAGCCATAGAGAGAGCACCAACAGGCCGACATCTCCTCCAAACTCATCCCTCGCTCTCTATCTCACTATTTCTAATTATAAAACTAAATCATATAGAGGACTAATCTTCTCTTGTTAGTTGGCTCTGATCCTGACGAGGATAATATGAATTTGGGTTTCAGTATGGCTCTAGAGATGGTGGCAGGGGCTGGTATATATAGGCCGGAGCGTCCAACGTGAGCCCTTGGATCAAACCGACTTAAAGAACGACGTAGATTGGATCTCAATGGCGGTGGAGAACTGACATTCGAAGCGGAGACTGACAGGTGGGTCCCATGGGCCGGCCGTCCTATAGGTGGGGCCGACCGGCCCCACATGTCAGCCCCTTAGTGTCTGCTTTGGTGGGGTTGTCTTCCAGAGTGTTCTAGAGTCTTCCCGCATCGGTTTTGTTGCGGATAAACGTGATTTACTTTGACGAATAAGTCCTCCTTGGCAGTTTTCTGTTTAAACCTGCTGAAAACACAGATTCACCAAAACTCGTGGAATTTATTAGTTTAAACCTCTATGCCTATGTTTGGTGATAGAATTAAGTATAAATACAGGTTATGTTGACGGTTTATAATTGATGTTAGTGACCGTCAACAGTTATCTTGTGATTGATTGATCATCGCTTGCCATGTCGGTATAACTTCACTACCTTACCCTTACATTTACTCTTCTAGTGTTGCTAAGCTCTTTAATGTAATTAGTTTTGAGAGCTAGCTTGTGTCGGGTCTAGTGTTTAGTGACGCTCTTTAGTTAGTCTTTGAGAGCTCACTAACTTAGTGGTAGTGACCTAGCATTGTATACTTAGAGACTATAATTACTAGAATTATGGTATGTGGCTTTCATTTTTAGTAGGCTAGCGCAAGAATTGCTTCGTCTCATTTTTGTCTAACCATTTTGCTTAGTGTGGTTGTAGAAATTTTTATAGGCTATTCACCCCCTCTATCTATTAGGTCCTTTCACCCAGCTTCTGCGCTTTAGTACAAAAGAGTGCTGTGGAGAGAAATGTGACCAGAAAAAACATTAAAAATATATACCGTTTAGTTTTAATCTAACTTATTTTAACTATAAGCAGCTTATAAGTTATATCAAATATGGCCTTAGCAAGTATAGAAACTAGTGATCCCTTTGATTGCACTTTAACGCAATACTACTGTAGCTACATCTCTTGTGAAAGTAAAACATTGTATGATGGTCGCTGAGAAGCCCTGCAACTAATATTCAGGAGGCGAGGCGGGGGATCTCCACACACGCACCCTGGGCATTGGTCCTTGCGGCTACTCATCTCTGAACTGATGAAAATCACTCAAGAAAGAAGGCTATATGTTTGCAAAATCAGAAGAGACTCCAACAAGGTGGCTGATTCTCTTGCCAAAGATGCACCTCTATCGACTATCCCAGCCACTTGTCTTTTCTCGTGTGAGGCTTTAGCCCACATGCCGAGTTATAGGGCCTGTTTGCTTGGAGGAATTCGGAGGAATTTGGATGGTTTGGAGGAATGTTGGAGAAATTTGTGAGAGAAAAACACGGTTTCGGATGAAAAAAGAAGCGGATCATCCGGGTTTAATGGCACGCAATCGAGCCATAATGTTAAACATAAGTTGCAACCTTCGGAACGGGGTCCTGATCCTTTTTTTTATATTATGTCTATAAAGTAATTGAAGCTAAAATTTTCAAATTAAAAAAAAAAGAACAGACGGTAGGTTGGGACTGCCATCGGGCCGACCTGAGCCAGATCTGTAAAGCAACGGCGAGCAGTCCGTTCAATCTCCACCATCCGAGTAAAGATCCTGCGGCCACCTTTGTCTGCCTCCGTCGCGGTGCGCCGGTGCCCACCCAATTCCGAGCTCCGACCACTACGTTTTCCATCACTCCGCCCTCCAAGCTCCGAGCTCCAAAACCCTAGCTATGCAGAAGCAGACAGGCAAGTCTGGCGGGACCGGTGGAGGCACGCCGGCGAAGCGCGGCCGCCCGTTCGGGAGCACCACCGGCGGCGGAGCCGCGGCCGCTGCTGCTGCGGCGGCGGTCGTCGACCCGGGTGCGTCCGCCGCGCTGGTCGGACCGTCCCTCCAAGTCCTATCAGCCCTGTCAGGTAATCCGCTCATCCGTCTGCTTCTGCAGTTCATCTAAGCCTATATGGGTTTCTAGGGCATGGAGAACTGGGGTGCTGGTCCTCTGAATTGTTGCTCTTGCCTCCGTTCCTTAGGGTAGAGTTGTCGGATGCAAATTAGGGGCTTTAGACCGTGAATAATCCTCTCTTTCAGCTGGAGCTGGAAAGGTCGGTGTAATTTTTATGTGCTTGGTATCGACATTGGAGGCATAATGCATTGGGCTCCAAGATTTTCGCATCTGAGTGCACGTTTTACGGGGGGAGATCTGGGGCCAGTTTGTTGTGGCCTGTTGTTTTCTCCGAAGCAACATCATAGCCATGTTCACAGTTATACAAACTAAGATATACAGTGCAGCTAATTTAGCTTAACTTTCTGCTCCCTTCAGATCCCAGCTCATACTCTCGAAACCGTCATGCGGAGTACCAAAGTTTGCACATAATGGAAAAAGTTTGACCTCACAACTGGACCCTTTATCAAAACAATACAGTAGAACACTAACAGGCTATCTTTCAGACCACTGCTCGACCTCCAATGCATAGACACATAATTCAGGCCTGGATTAGGTTATAGAGTTCCAAACAACTTTGAATCTGACCTTAATATCCAGTTTAGACATTTTTTCAGTCTGATTTCTTTTTTTATTCTTAGAAGTTTGTAATATGCTTCATTTCCAGTTTGAGTTGTGTTGCAAGCCAAGTTAGCTGTAATGATTTCTGTTGCATGACTGCCAAACCTTGGCACAGCTCCAGCTCCAGGAGTTCTTGAAGTTGTGTATTCCTTGCTCTAAAATACATGAAACTGGAACAGGGATACACTGAGACTACTTGGTTGTATTGTATCATTGTGTTTCTATTCTAGAGTAAATATAAATATCTAAACCACTTTAATCTGGTCGACAAATTCCATATCTGGCGTGGTGCTGTGAATTGGAGCTCTGTCAAATGAGAGCTGAGTTTCGGTATGACTAAAAATTGTACTTAGATATTTTTATACTTGTGCACATATCCTTGCTTGAAAGTGTATGTAGGTGCAAGCAGCCAAGCACTTTTACTAATGTGTGTACATGTTATTATTTTCCCAATCTGGAAACAGCTATTTTGTACAGATGATAAATCATGGCATGCTACAATTATGACCACCGTCTTTTTGTGATCCTGCTCTCTATATTTAAGATGCATAGAGTCTATATTGTCCGATTTTACTCTTGTTTTATCCCATTTGTTAGAGATGATATCTCGTGTTCTTCATCATGTGCTTGAACTGCACAAGTAATCATCTTCTAATAACGGTTACCAGCATTGGCTATTTGACAGATCAGAACAACAAAAGAATTGTCCTTGCATTGCAAAGTGGGTTGAAGTCAGAGATACTGTGGGCGCTGAATGCCCTTACAGTACTCTCATTTAAGGAGAAGGACGACCAACGACGTGATACAACACCTCTTGCTAAAGTTTCTGGGCTCCTAGATGCTCTTCTTCAAGTTGTATGTCTCCCTTTTTACTTTCCAGTTTGATGTATCTTTTACTAAATCATGCAATTTCCTTTTTAATTTTTTTATCGTAATCTTTGTTCTGTCTGGCTAATGAGTACAACAACAACAACAACAAAAAAGCCTTTAAGTCCCAAACAAGTTGGGGTAGGCTAGAGTTGAAACCCAGCAGAAGCAATAACGGTTCAGGCACGTGAATAACTGTTTTCCAAGCACTCCTATCTAAGGCTAAGTCTTTGGGTATATTCCATCCTTTCAAGTCTCCTTTTATTGCCTCTACCCAAGTCAACTTCGGTCTTCCTCTGTCTTTCTTCACATTACTATCCTGACTTAGGATTCCAATACACACTGGTGCCTCTAGAGGTCTCCGTTGGACATGTCCAAACCATTTCAACCGGTGTTGGACAACCTTTTCTTCAATTGGTGCTACCCCTAATCTATCACGTATATCATCGTTCCGAACTCGATCCCTTCTTGTATGACCACAAATCCAACTCAACATACGCATTTCCGCGACACTTATCTGTTGAACATGTCGTCTTTTCGTAGGCCAACATTCTGCACCATACAACATAGCAGGTCTAATCGCCGTCCTATAAAACTTGCCTTTTAGCTTCTGTGGTACCTTTTTGTCACATAGGACACCAGATGCTTGGCGCCACTTCATCCACCCTGCTTTGATTCTATGGCTAACATCTTCATCAATATCTCTCTCTCTCTGTAGCATTGATCCTAAATATCGAAAGGTATCCTTCCTAGGCACTACTCGACCTTCCAAACTAATATCCTCCTCCTCCCGAGTAGTAGTGCCGAAGTCATATCTCATATACTCAGTTTTAGTTCTACTGAGTCTAAAACCTTTGGAGTCCAAAGTCTCCCGCCATAACTCCAGTTTCTGATTCACTCATGTCCGGCTTTCATCAACTAGCACTACATCGTCCGCGAAAAGCATACACCAAGGGATGTCCCCTTGTATGTCTCTTGTGACCTCATCCATCACTAAGGCAAACAGATAAGGGCTCAAAGCTAACCCTTGATGTAGTCCTATCCTAATGAGAAAGTCATCCATGTCTCCATCATTTGTTCGAACACTAGTCACAACATTGTTGTATATGTCCTTAATGAGCTCGACGTACTTTGTTGGGACTTTATGTTTGTCCAAAGCCCACCACATAACATTCCTTGGTATTTTATCATAAGCTTTCTCCAAGTCAATAAAAACCATGTGTAGGTCCTTCTTCTTCTCCCTATACCGCTCCATAACTTGTCTGGCTAATGAGTGCTAGTTGTATTTGCATTAGAATGCATTTGAACTAGATTTAATCAAGTTAGCATCACCCTTTGACATAAACATTGAAGAAAATGGTAATGGCCTCATGCATACTATGATATGGCACCAATGCACCATTGCCCACTATAGGTTTGTAGCCATAATACAAAGGACAAAGGGTCATCTAATTATGGTTCCCAAACCTTCACTTTTTTAAATTTTATCCTACATGTTGCAAAAAAAAGCAAGGATAAGGCTGCCCAGAGTTCTCCCCATATTCCACAAGGGTTCACCCTTTTTTGTCCAGAATCATATAAAACAGGTGCAAACCATTCCCTAGGACGAGTGTTGGTGTTTGTTTGGTGATTTGGTTGTGACAACATTATTTTTTTGTCATGTGGCAATCACATCATTTACATGGAGATGAGAGAGGGAGAGAAAGAGGGAATGCGGCAGATAGAGATTTAACTGTGGAAGAGTCTGTCGTGTTGATAACTAACAATAAACTTCTTCCTAATAACGTCAAAAGAGGCTTTCAGTTATTACTGGGTCACCCAAGCACTTTCTCATCTCATTTTTTCATATGTTTCTTATACCAAATTAAATTCTAGCTAAGTAACATACTAATGTGCCAGTGTATTTCCTCAAAAAGAAGCTACCATCATTTTTCTTTTGCATTCTGTCTTATGCTTTGATATCTTGTGCAGATTGATGAATGGAGAGATATTTCAATGCCTAAGGACCATATGAAACCACCCAGAGTAAGAACTTTGGGTGCCAACACAACACTCTCGGGCTTTGGCCAGGAGAACATGGAAAAAGTCTACTCTGACACTGCCACGTATGTTGTTACTAGTCTTACCAAGATCCTGACAACCTATCTCAGTATCCATGGCCCTTGCTGCCATACTTATGTTCTATAAAATGTGTTAATTACAGTACCTCTAATAATGACCAATCAAAGCCGGAAGACTCCAGTGTCACGAAGAAGCGCGCTGCAAGCTTTTGGTTTGATGAGGATGGCTTGTTTAACAATGATGATGAAGGGAGGGCAGAAAGGCAGCAGTGCGCTATTACAGCCTCCAATATAATCCGCAATTTCTCTTTTATGCCAGAAAATGAGATTATCATGGTTCAACATAGGCATTGCTTGGAGACTATATTTCATTGCTTAGAAGACCAGAATAGAGGTAAATATTGAAATACTGCCCTGTCTTTGTTTTTTTAATTTATAGATTAACTTGGTGATGGTCAAATGAGGCTACATGAATGTGTTTGGCTCTTCAAATTTGCTGTAGTTTATGTTTTGTCCAATTATTACCTGCATATGCTCCCTCTAGGCTGTTTATTACTCTGAAAAATCCCCACGAGGTGACTTCCCCTTGGCTTTGTCTTAAGGTGCCAGTCTGCCAGACCCTTTAAGGAGGTACATACATGACCTGTGACTCTGAACACCTGTGTGGCCAGCCTCTCAACTTGAGGCCTCTGCAACCGAGCTATTGCTCAGTTCTCCACAAGCTTGGCAAAGAAACTGGCTATTTATGGTTCCTATTTGAACTTTGTGTTTGGTCTAACTCTGCAAAATATGGATGATGTGAAAGTTATATGTTTTTTTGGTATATTTATACTCCTATTCGACTATCTGCTGTAACTTGAGTAAGCTATTTATCCTGGGGCTATGTGACATGTCATGTCTCCAGCTATTTTTCCGACAGACTTTAATACATAGAACTCATGTTGTACTGGTATTTGTCATTGAACAGAAGATGACGAGCTCATAACAAACATGGTGGAGACCCTTGTCAATTTAGCACCTGTGTTGGACCTGAGGATCTTCAGCTCATCAAAGCCATCGTTCATTAAAATGACGTAAGATATGACTCTAGAACTGCATTATTCTTTACCAATTCATTTCTATTTTGAGGTTTACTCATTTGCCTGCTCTTTGCCAAGATAGTGAGAAAGGTGCAGTTCATGCCATAATGGGTATGCTTTCTTCTTCCGTAAAGCCATGGCACTGTGCCGCTGCTGAATTGATTGGCCGTCTGATAATAAATCCAGACAACGAGCCATTTCTTCTTCCTGTCATTCCACAGGTAAATGTTTTTTGGAATTTGGATCACTCTTTGTATTTAGCAGTAGTATTTACTGTTGTACTGTTATGGTATGCAGATGGATTCGAATAAAGCTATCTGTTTCCCAGCTCTTTAGGTGTCATGCTTACATTGGTTTGCTTGATGCAGATATACAAACGACTAGTTGACCTATTGAGTGTACCAGCATATGATGCACAGGCTGCTGCTGTTAGTGCACTCTACAATGTAGCCGAAGTGAATATGGATTGCAGGCTCAAGCTTGCCAGTGAGCGATGGTAAATGTGTGCTTCATACACTTAGACAAAGCATCCTAACATCAGAGAAGGGGCATTAACAATCTGTAAATTTTACCATTTTGATGTCAATTGAACCAGGGCTGTCGATAGACTCCTAAAGATTGTGAAGACTCCGCATCCCGTGCCTGAGGTGTGCAGGAAGACGTCGATGATCCTGGAGAGCCTCGTCTCTGAGCCTCAAAACAGGATGCATCTCCTTGTGCACGAGAACACTTTTGCTGAGATCCTGACATCAGAAGGGAAATACTCGGACACATTTGCTCGGATCCTGTATGAACTGACAGCAAGGCCAAGCAACAAAGTGACCTCGGGGCAAGCCATCTGGGGAAACATAAACTGATGCAACCCAATGGCCTGTAATATTTTGTTGGAATCTAGACTAGATGAGATGTAATGTAGGTACTTTCGTTGACCATGTATTATGTTGCTGACTGTATGTAATCGGCTCTTAGCTGTATCGAGAATTCGAGTTGCAGGCTTACAGCTCGGCAACCTGGCCGAATCTGGGTAGTTTCTTTCATGGCTCTTCTATCTGATTGTTTCAGTACTTGTGGTGGTCTGGACTCTGGAATGGTTGGTAGAAAATAGCATGTAGCTGTGTCGGGTCTCAGTATTAGGGATACCTGACAGAAGAAGGCTGATGACTACGAACGCTAACTCACCCGGATGGTCAAGAGTGTATTTTGGTCTTGCCCGACCTCGAGGGTATGAGCTTCGTCTCGCTTGACCCTAAAGGTACGGGCTCCGTCTCGTCAAACTCCTTATGTGTGGGCTCTGTCTCGGCCGACCCCGAGGGTACGGGCTCCGTCTAGCCAGACCCCTCGGGCGCGGGCTCCGCCTCGCCCGGCCCCGAGGGCGTGGGCTTCGTGTCGCTGGACCCTGAGGGCGCGGACTCCGTCACGCCCAACCCTGAGGGTGCGTGCTCCATCTCGCCCGACCCTTCGGGCACGGACCTCGCCTCCATCTCGCCCGACCCTTGGGCACGGACCTCGCCTCGTCAGACCCCTCGAAGGGGGATTCCGCCTCACCCGACGGGGGTCCGTACTGCTTCCAACCACTACGAGTCTAAGAGTACGAACCTAGGGTCAAACTTCTGACATCAGAAAAGGAGTGGGCGCGTCTTGACATGACCCGCGGCCACGACGGACCATACCTGAGGACTCACGTCGCCAACAGTGTCGAGCGTGCTGGCGCTGTGTTACCTAATCTCCGCACGACTTCTGTCAGAGATACCTATTGACCATGCTGCCCGCTGGGACGGAATGGGGCGCCACGACCGGCTGACGACGTGTTTCGCACCAGTGGCGAACAGGGTTGCGACGTGGAGCCGTCCCCGTCATCATCCATAGGACCGGCGGGACCCGCGTGAAGGAGATGAAGGGCACCGCGACTCCGGAGGCCTTCATTTACCTCGCTTTTCTGCTCTCTCTTTCTCTCATGTAACCTGCGCCTTCCCCTTCATCTATAAAAGGGGAAGCAGGACGCCCCGCGAAAGGCAACGGCTCAACGCTGAAAGGAACTGAGTTCAACTAGACTCAACTCCATTCGATCCTTCCATCAGAGACTTGGGACATTTTCCTTCTCTCACCCATTTGTAACCCCTATTACAAACAAGTGATGGTAACACAAGCAGCTTCAAACTGGACGTAGGGACATTTCGCCCGAACTAGTATAAACCCTTGTGTCCTCCGAGCACACCATCCGGCCAGACACACAAACGCAAATTTACTAGTCGGCGGTTCGAAACACCGACAGTTGGCGCTCCAGGTAGGGGCCTTTTGTGCGTCTCGTCGTCCACAACAGGCCACGGATGGCTAGCCACGGCGTGAGTTGGGTCCCGGGCACACACGTGTGCTTCGGAAGCGTGGATTTCTTCGTCACCGCGGAGGGAGAGCTGGCGCGAGCTCCCACCCCCGTCCAACTTCTTCGCTCCACCGGCCTTGACGTAACCGTTGAGGCCCTCGAGGAGCTACGGCTGCACGCCCCGGAGGCCCGTGCCCCCGGGAGCGACCAGCTTCTCAGCTTCGATTACGGGAGGCTGGAGTGCCAGCTCGACGCCTTCCTAGGACCCCGACCGTCCTTGGAGGACTTGCGCTGCCTCACCTTCTTTTTCGCCAACGTCATGACGCAGCTTGCCGGAGGGGAACCGCTCTCCCCGAAATACCTCACCTAGAGCGCCCCGACAGCATTCCTGTTCGGTCTGCGCAACGCCGCAAGGACCATTGGTCACCTCGTGGCGCGGCGCATGCACTCTTCCCCCATGGATGATGAATTTGTGGGTATGACGGACTATGTCGCGGAATCATTCCACGACCTTCTCACGGGAGATTCAGAAATGATCTTCAACTCTGACTCCAGCAGGGGAAGCCATCACCCCTCGTGATAATGCTTCATGGCAGGCACCCCCGAGGGGTGCGTTGAAAGCATCCATGTGGGAGGGGCTACTCCTACGAATGACCCCAACAACGATGTTGAGGGAGATTAGGGGCCCCGCCTCGCCTACGGGTAGAGCAGTTGAGGGCACGGCACAAGGAGATCAAGGATGCGCGACTCCAGCTAGAGCAGGAGTGTGTGGAGCTCGAGCGTGAGATCGAGCGCCCGTGACATAAACCAGAGGATCATCGAGGACGACGGAGGCCTCCCGCACTTCGCCCGGGCAATCCAGAACATAGCTGTCATGGCAGCCTTGCTCCAAGGGCTCCCGGAGCCCGCGACACCCTAAGACCGTCGGGCTCATCACGAGATCCGCACGCTACTTGAGCACGCGGCGGTGCAACAGGCGGAAAGCTCGCTGTCTTGGTGACGCAAGCTCGATGCCAGTCAGCGCGTGTCTTCGGGACGACATGGACGAGATGTATCCGTCCACTAGGCGCCATGCGACGGCGGGGGGCTTGCCATGGTCCCGGTGCATGAGCGTCTCAGCCCCAACCGTGATGCACGTAACACCCTGGACGCCCGTAGGTGCGGACGGGGGCGAGGAGACAAGAGAGAGGAGGCCTGCCGCGGGTAGCACCCTCGTCACGGTGGACACTACGACAGCAGCAAGGATGGAGCCCGAGCCCCGATCTTCTGGGGCCTAGGCTTTCGGCCAGGACATCCTCAACGCGGCTTTCCCGCCGCGGTATTGACCACCGACCAATATCCCAAAATACTTCGGGGAAACGAACCCCGACCTGTGGCTCGAGGATTACCGGCTTGCTTATCAAGCCGGCGGTGCAGATAGTGATTACTTCATTATCCGCAACCTCCCCTTGTTCCTGGCGGACTCAGCACGAACATGGCTGGAGCACCTTCCGCCCAACCGAGTTCAAAGCTAGGCGGACCTGAAGGAGATATTTGTGGGAAATTTCTAGGGCACCTACATGTGCCTTGGGAACCCCTGGGATCTGAAGAATTGCCGATAGAAGTCCAGGGAAACTCTTCGTGAGTACATTCGATGCTTCTCTAGGCAATGCAACGAGTTGCCCGACGTCACCGACACCGACGTCATCGGAGCTTTCCTGTCCGGGACCACCTGCGAGTCCCTAGTCCACAAGATGGGACACAAGGGCCCTTGAACCACCAAGGAGCTCCTCGACATCATGACCAGCCATGCCTCAGGCGAGGCAGCGGTCGGAGCAATTTTTGACTGCCCCAAGGGCCAAGCGAAGCGGGACGAGGACGCTGGCGAGGGCGCCTCCAACCACCCAAATAAGAAAAAGAACAAGCAGTGGCACGGGGGCTTGCTCATGGCCCCTACCGAGTGGAAAGGCGACTGGGCGCCCACCGAGGGTGCACCCGATCACTTCGAGAAGCTACTCAAAGGGTCGTGCCTGAACCACGCCTTCCCTATCAAGCACCTGTACAAGGATTGCGCCCTCATGAAGCATTTTTTGTCCAGTTGCTCCAATGACGCCAAGGGGAAGGATGGCGTCTTTCTGACGCTGGATGGCTACCTCATGATCTTTGGTGGGGCGGTGGCTTACGACTCCAAGCGCCGTCGAAAACTCACGCGTCGCGAGGTCTACACGGCCGAGCCGGCCACGCCATCTTTCCTCCGGTGGTTGGAGTCCACCATCACCTTTGACCAATCCGACCACCCAGAGAGCGTCCCACGGCTGGGAAGGTACCTGCTCGTGGTCAACCCGATCGTCGGCACGAAGCGGCTCACCAAGAACTGATGGATGGGGGCAACGGCCTCAACATCATGTACGTCAAGACGCTTGATACCAAGGGCATCGACCGGTCGCTCATCCGACTGACCGGGGCACCTTTCCACGGTGTCGTGCCGGGGAAGCAAGCCATACCACTTGGGCAGATCGACCTGCCCGTCACCTTTGGGGATCCGGCCAACTATAGGACGGAGACCCTCACCTTCGAGGTGGCCAGGTTCCATAGAACCTACCACACCATCCTAGGACGACCGTGCTATGAGAAGTTCATGGCCGTCCCCAACTAGACTTACCTGAAGCTCAAGATGCTAGGCCCGCATGGGGTCATCACCATCGGCACCTCCTTCCAGCGCGCCTACGAGTGCAAGGGTTGAGTGCTGCGAGCACGCCTCGACGATTATCGCCTCCGAGGAGCTCATGGTCATCAAGGAGGGGACCGCCGAGGAAGCACCCGACTCCAAGCGATCGGCCGGATCTTTTGAGGACGCGGAGGGCATCAAGGAGGTCCTCATAGACCCCAGCAGCTCTGAGGACAAAGTGGTGCGCATTGGCACCACGCTTTCCTCCAAATAGAAAAGCACGCTCGTCGACTTCCTCCACGCCAACAGAGATATCTTCGCGTGGAAACCATCGGACATGCCAGGCATTTCGAGGGAAGTTGCCGAGCACGCCTTGAATATCAGGCCAGGCTCTAAGCTGGTAAAGCAGCGCCTACATCGCTTCGATGAGGAGAAGCACAGGGCCATCGGCGAGGAGATCGCGAAGCTTTCGGTGGCCGGATTCATCAAGTCAGTGTATCATCCCGAGTGGTTAGCCAAGCCCATCCTTGTACGAAAAAAGAAGGGAAAATGGAGAATGTGTGTTGACTACATAAGTCTCAACAAGGCGTGTCTAAAGGATCCATTTCCTTTGCCACATATAGACCAAGTAGTCAACTCGACCTCGGGGTGTGAAACCCTCTGCTTCCTTAATGCGTACTCCAGGTACCATCAAATCACGATGAAAGAATCTGACCAGCTCGCGACTTCTTTCATCACCCCATTTAGATCATTCGGATATATCACAATGTCGTTCAGTCTAAAAATGTAGGGGCTACATACCAGCGTTGCATGCTCAACTGTTTCGGGGACCTCATCGGGCGAACCGTTGAGGCTTACGTAGATGACATCGTGGTCAAGTCCAAATAGGT